CTTGAAGCGGAAGGTGATGCGGATTGTTGCGCGAAAAAAGAACGGCCCTGTGGTCCGAAGCGTTCGGTTGCCACCCCAGCGCTACCATTTTCACTTCCCTGTCCAGCTGCTCCGCGCCATGATGGTTGCAATAGATGCGATCCAATCGCGACCGGGCGCTAGACGAGGCATATGTGATTTCCGGCTGGTGCATCTCCTCGAGGGAATGCCGCTTACCGACGACCTCCTGAAAATGGTACTCTTCGTGGTGGTCTCGACGGCCATTCGGTCTTGCTGATGAGCACGAGCGCCGGTCAGCGTCCGTCGTAACCCAGTTGAAGTCTCCACCTAGGATCGTCAGGGTGGCGGTGCCGCTGCGGATGGCAGTGCCCAGCCTCGAGCGCATAACCTCCTTGATGTCAGGGAACGTAGTGCATCGTCTTGACTGCTCGGGCGAAAGTCCATAGCGGTCCAGCTCCTACACCTCCGCGCCGGAATGGAAATAGCAAACCGTCAGATCCATTCCCCCTGAAGGACCCATCAGCTCAAGCCTGGCAGCTCCCCCAGGCAATATGATTTTCCAAGTAATCTCCGTGAAGTTGCTAAGAAAACTGCGCTTGACTACAATCCCGACCCCAGCATGAGCTGCACTAGCTCCGGCTGACCACCATGCCGCTGTTCCCGTCGGTGCCCTCCATGCCGCATGCTGTCCTGAGGTGCCGTGGGCCTCCGAAACCAGCACCGCGTCACAGCGAGCCAGCAAGGAGGAGAGGTGGGCCATCTTGACCTCCCTCCGCTTGTCACTGCACGCGAACAGGGCCTGGGCGTTCCATGCAGATATTGCGAAATCCCCTCGGTATTGACCTGGTCGCCGCAGCTGCGGGGCAGGCATTGGAGCAGGAATGGAACGCGCTGGGGGCAGGATGCGGGCGGGTGCTAACAGACCCAGCGCCCGCCGGAGCCGCTGGCGTCGATACAAATCAATCGGGACGTCGCCCAGGCTGGATTGACCTCCAGCAGTCTGAAAAGAGCTAGGAATCAATTCGAATTCACCAAAGAAAAACGGGGCTAGTTTGGGCAGCAAGCGGTCAGAGGCAACAGCGGCAACGCTCGAGCTACGACTCGTCGTGACGACTCTGCGGTGTAAACTATGGTGGAAGCTAAGCCGTGCAATCGATGTGATGTGAAGTATGGAGATAAACGGTACGCGTTGCAAGCCACGTTGTGCACAAGCTGTCGTTTAAGCAATTTGGGGCGAGCTGGAAGTATAAGCTATACGGTCAAAACTAAATCGTGCAAATTATGTTGTTCCGTCAGCCCGTGAGTTGTCAACTCCATTGCTCGCGCAATTATCCCGCACTCCAACCTGCAACATGCATTGCAAAATCCATGTGGCCGCGATTTCGGTGACTGCTTGGCCCTGGCATGCGCATCTCTGCGACTGTGCTCGCGCGAGTAAACACGGGCTTAAAGCGGCCCCTGTTTTGGCGCAGCTGGTACAACTGCAATGGCGCTTACCGATGGCATATTCCCCGCGCGTCTCAGAGGCCGCGCTGGCGCGCGGACGCTCCAGCGCGGGTCGGTGACCAGGGCGGGCGCGATATAATGATGACGCCGGCAGCGGCGAAAACGATGATGATACCAGCGGAAATGGTGGCGATGATGATTATGTTGTTGATGACAGCAACGGCAGAAAGGCCAATGACGGTACCGGTGCTGGTCACGACGATGACGATCATATTGTCCACGTGTCGATGATGAGGGCGATGTTGCTGATGATGGCGACAATGGCGGCGATTGGCGATGACGATAGAGGCGGTGATGCGATGGCACTGATGCTGGCAATTTACCAGAAGTGCGCGCAGAAATTCATGAAATCGGCCCGACATGTTTCAAACACATATAGCCGTTGTTTAACATGTGCTTGCAAAACTTGCTTGACATGCTGAGAATAGCAGCCGGTTTGGAGAGATTTCGGCACGCGCGCGTGGAGGCGCGCGCGTGGCCCATATGGTTTGGTTTGGTACAGATTCGTGTACTGGGCGCGTGCTGAATCGATGGGACCGCACCGCGTGGTGGGAGAATGCGGTTCCTGGATGATAGCAATAAACGTCTGTATGGCGAGCAAAATACAAGCTCTGTGAGACAGCATGCGAAGCAAGTTGTTGCTGTTGTTTGTATGTTGAAATGCGTGCAGTCCTAACGTGCTTGCTGTGAAATTGTCATGTGAGCGCGAGCGTGCGGGACCTATTAATTTGTTGCAAGAAATACGTGTAACTTGTGTGAGGCCCACGATAATTCAATAGCAACGAACGTAAGCATACAATTATTTGGCAGGGGTGAGGGAAGGCCGATACAGACTGAGGTGGGGTGCTACACATCCAGGCGAAGCATGAACGATGAAACACACTCACATGTGAACTGCAATGCGAAAAGGGTGTGGCCAAGTCCTGGCTCGAGAAATGGGGGGAAGGGGGGATCCTACGATTCTTGCGAGCCAGGTGTATATACATATATGTGATGTGAGCGGTGCTGTGTGAGCTGGCGGTGAAAACGAGGCGGAACAAGCCATGCGGTGTAAGTTATGTGGTGCAAGCTGTGCTGTGACAGCTATGTGGCGTAAGCAAGCTAGGTCAAGTAGGCTATACTTACTTGGTGTTAGCTCAGCGCACGTGGCGCACACATGCAAGCCAACGAAGAGCACGGGCGGTAACGTGCCACAACCTCGGCAAACCCCCGTAGCGCACGGGGCGCCCAAACGCACACGAGGACGCACTGACAGCAACGTGGCCCAACCTCGGCGACCCCCGTGGCGCACGGGGCGCCCACGAGCGCCCACGGGGCGGCAACGTAGCGCAACCTCGGCAAACCCCCGTAGCGCACGGAACGCCCACGAGCGCCCCACGAGGCGGCACGGGCTGCGACGTAGCGCGGCCTCGGCAAACCCCCTCTGGCGCACGGGGCCCCCCACGAGCGCCCACGAGGCGGCAACGTGGCGCAACCTCGGCGGACCCTTCCAGCGCACGGGCCCCCCACGAGCGCCCACGAGGTGTCACGGACGGCAGCGTGGCGAAAACCTGGAATAGTCAATCCACCATTCAAGAAAAAGCAATGAGAACCCCTGAGCGCAAGCACTTCTTAAGGAAAAGAGCCCAGAGAGAGAGAGAGATCGACAGAGCCATAATGGAGAGGGAGAGAGAGACAGAGAGACCGAAGAGAGACTGAATGGAATAGGGATGCACGTACAGGTATGTGTGTACATATGTACACAGAGAGACAGAAGCCGAAACAACACATGTAATATACATACAGGCAGATGTATAAACGCTTGAGAAAGGGAAAGAGAGATATTAGTTTTTTCCATGAAAGACAAGGGGGGCAGAGAGAGAGGACAAGTAGAGGAGGAGAACAGAGAGTTCTCCAACGCTGAAGGGTTCCCAACTGAGACTCAAACAAAAACATACGAACATTACGGAAACAATTCCGGTGGGCGGATGGGTTCACATCCCAGTTCCGAATTTCAAACCGACTTTGGGTGGCGGTCCGATTCCTGGGCTCCTTGTTCCGGATCCGTCCTGACACGGTACGGTTCCCGGATTGTCGAATTTTTCCAGGTCCCAGGGTCTGGCGACCAGGGTTAGAGTCCGATGGTGCACATGAGGAAATGTATAGGAAACATATCAGATAGTAGAAATCGTAGATGAGAAGCGCAGAGAATTTAGAGAGTATACATTGAAGAATAGAGGGCAGGGCCAGGTGGCAAAGTATACAGCAAAACAAAGCAGCACCATAATCTTACCGAGATGATGATATATCGTCAAAGTGTGTATATAAAATTATGTATAGACAACGGGGGGGAAAGAGAGAGAGAGAGAGAGAACAAACACAATCAAAACTGGCGACCACTGATGACTGTGTATGTATATATATATATGCAACGAGAATATATTTATACACTGGGAATTGCAAGCTATATTGAAAAAGAGCAGCGGAACACGATCACATACATAATACATATAGAACTATGTATATGATGTATATATATATATGTCAGAGAGTACTGAGCAGAGCTGGGTGTTGAGAAAGAAAAAACGATGCATATATATAGATAACTATATATACATGGTGAGCTGGAGAGGCAGGGAGAGAGAGGGAGAGCGAGACATGATACGACACACATATGATTTACGTAACAATACACGGATCCGAGATAAAGTGCGCGGGATAGCGGTAGGGTGAGAGAGAGAGAGAGAGAAAGCGGGCAAGTGTGGAGTGCCTGGCAGCATGTCAAGAATTCCATTATGACTTGAGCTGAGCCCTAAATGAATGAACTGTCAAAACAACACACAATAATGAGTGAGCCGTGCATCTGGTAGCACGGCAAACTGGTGACACATGTGCATGCGATGACTCCACCAGCTGGCGTCTCGGCCAAGGCCGCACGATTTTCGCAAGAGTTGCTGTCGGGACAATTCCTTACAGCACGGAGCAGATCAACTGTGATTGATTACATAGCGCAGACAGTGTGCCCGAATGGGTTCAGATTCGGGCTAAGCGCTGAGACCAGGTCGATCGCATTCACATTGTTGTGAGCTTGAACTCGCTCGGCGGACTCGCCACGTGACCACAAGTTCGGAGGCCGTGCTCAGTGTGCGATGGCTGGCAGCCAAGTGCCGAACGCGAACTCAACATTTGCATGGACGTCGTTGGTATCGTTCATCGAAGGACTCGATCAACAAATTGCAAGTCCTTCTGCGTTGCCACGGCGTTCAGCGAATCGCATGACGCATCACGAGTTCACAAGCTCCTCTGCGTCACTGAAGACATGCTCCTCTGCCTCGTCTTCTCAGGTCTCTGCCTCCGGAACAATAGGGGGGCCAAGCTCCGGCTCCCGACCCATCATCTCGTCGAACAGCGTCGGCGCTGGGGTTCTGGAAGAGTCCTCGCCGCTGGGCGAGAAAGTCGAATCCTCACTGCTCGCTGTCCCGAGCGTGCGTATGGCGCAGCTCGCCTCGCGGCACCGCGTGGCGGGACAGGTGGCTCTCGCAAATGGTGGAGTCCGCAGTGATGCCAAGGGCGGCGGGGCTGGTCGGTCGCAGGGACCCTGGGCGGCGTGCACAAGGGAGGAGGAGTGGGGGGGGCTCTCGGGGGGGGGGGGGCAGGCGAGGCAGGCGGCGGGGGGCTTCTGGAGAGCCGGGGCCTTCAGAAGCCCTCCCCGCTGCTGAGAGGCCTTCTCGGGAGCCTCTGGACCCTAGGGTTAAGTCGGGCGTGTCCCCCTACAGGGGGATTTTCGACGAAACATAAAAAATATTCAAACAAATATTCGCAAACGGTTGCAAAATACTCACAAAATAGTCCCCAGACTATTCTTACACTATTTTTGGATATTCCTCCTGTAGAGGGACAGGCCCGACTGAACCCTAGGGAGGCCCCTGCCTTCCTCAGAGAAGCCGAGCCCGCATAACTACGAACCCTCGGAGGTCCGCGCAGGAGTCCCGGATCGGCGCGCCAGGGGCGGCGCCATCAAGGGGGCACAGCGCCGACCCACGGAGTCCGCGCGGGCCTCGGGAGACTCACATGTCGCCGCGCCGATTGTTCGGAACGCGCCCGGGTAGACGAGGCCGGCACCGCGGCAAACCCGCAGCAAACCCTGCGTTCGCGGCGGGGTTTGCCCTGGTGGCCGTGGCGCACTCCCCGAGACACCAGGCTGCGCGTCGGAACAGACGGCGCGGCGACATCCCCAGACATGTGACGTCCTGTTTTTTTCAAGACGGAGTCCCTGGAAGTCCCGACCCTTCCCGGGCCCGGCTTTTCACTTTTAACCCTTCCTTGCCGATCCCGAGGCCCGGCGAGGGATCCCTGAGGCCGAAATCGGCCAAAAACCTCCCGTCCTGATTTTGGTCGTCGGCGGCTAGGCAGAGGGTCAACTGCGCTGGCGGAGGAAGCCAACTTAACAGGGGGCACCGTTGTAGAGAGGAGGAGGAGGAGGAGGAGGAGGAGGAGGAGGAGGAGGAGGAGGAAGAGGAGGAGGAGGAGGAGGAGGAGGAGGAGGAGGAGCACTAGGAGGAGGAGGAGGAGCAGGAGGAGGAGGAGCACTAGGAGGAGGAGGAGGAGGAGGAGGAGGAGGAGGAGGAGGAGGAGGAGGAGGAGGAGGAGGAGGAAGTGGGGGGGGCGGGGGCGAGGGACAACATGGCCCTGGCATCGGCGATGCGCTCGCCGACAGATCGGCGATCACAGGGGTCGAGCTACACGGTGTTGCTCGTTTTCGTTATGTTTTCGTGCTCCTTCGTCCTCTCGTCGTTCCGCCGTTGCTGCGAAACGAAGTCAAAACGAAGACGGCATCTGGGTGGGGATGAATCGGAAATCTCTGATAACTGGCGGGATGTATCTGTGGCGCCAGCCGTACCAGGGCGCTCAAGAACGCTCTGAGCGCGTTCTGGGACGGTCTTGGAGATATGATTATCATCCTGAGCCTGCCTCAACCTGCTGCTGCCCTCGCCTCCGGGGGCGAGCCAGGCTTCCGGATAGATAAGAGCTTCCGTACCTGGACGAACGAACAACGGCACAAACAAACTTTCGGACGTCCGCGCGGATCTCAATTCTTGGGTCAGCTGTGGACTCTCCTGGCGGTGCCTCTGGCGCCGCCCCTGGCGCGTTTCGCGCGCCAGGAAGGATGGTCAAGCGCCGATCCGAAAAAACCCGCGGACCCCCCAACATTGATGTTTATGCTGTTTTTCTTCGGTTACCAGTCTCTGGTTCCTCTCCGCCGATTCGAGCAAGCGGGCTGCGGTCGCCGAGTGGCCCCATTCTGGCTCGAGTTCAGAGGAGCTGCCGTGGGCACGCTCCATGTCTGGAAGTGCCCTGTCCGCGTCCACGCTCTGACAAAGCTGCAGGCGGAGCCGGAGCTGGCGGTTTTCGTCCTGGAGCAGGCGCTGCTCCTCGTACGCCTCGCGGAGCCTGTCCTCGCAATCGCTTCTCAGAGCTGGCACTTGGCCCGGTGCACGCTCACCCCACGGGTCGTCGGCCAGGTGGCTGGAAGGTCTCTCCTGGGAGGACGCCCGCTGTACGCCTACACCGACCCTGGCCAAGCTCACCCTCGGCCCAGGATCGCCACGGCCAGAGTCGGTGCATGTGCACAGTTGGTGCCCTCGGATCTCCAGTAACTCCAAGCGGGATGCCATCCTCTCGACAGGCCACGTGCAGAGCACCTCGCGGCCCTCGCCCCTGCTGCCCTGGGCCGCGCCCGGCAGCGGCCTCGCAGAGGGGCCGGTGGGGGCGTCGGAGCCGAAGGCGGGCGGCGGCGGCCCCTCCTCGGCGGCGCGCACAACTGGAAATGGCGGGGGGGAGGGCCTTCTCAGAAGGCGGGATGGTGGGGGGGAGGGGCCTTCTCAGAGGAGAGGGGCCTTCTTCGAGGCCCTCCTGGCTTCCAAGAGGCCGTCCTGGAGGCTCCGAAGCCCCTCTGAGGAGGCCCCTTCCTGTCGAAGCTCTCCCGCCTTCTCAGAATGGTTGCGTGGTGATCAAGCCCTTACCAATAAAGGTGACGGCCCATGTTGGACATACACTGCCAACTCTCTGTCGCTGTATTGTTTGTTAAGCATGAGCCACGTCTACCTCGCAGAGCGGGGGGTGGGGGGCTGGAAGGGGCATGCCATCCCTTGACACAAACCTTGCCCCGATTTGTTGGCCGCCGAGATCGCCGCCCTCCAAAACCCGACCGGAGGTTCAGGTCGGGGTCAGATGTCACACAACGATACAGAAGGCCACCATCCCTCGCGCCAATACAAGCCTCCTAGATGGGGTCCGAGTTCGACCACATCTACTCGGACCCCATCCAGGAGGCCATGAGCCACTTGTAGGGGGGCGCGCAAGGGGGGGGGGGGGGGGGGGGGGGCGAAACCCAAGCGCGCAAGCTGATGCTATCGCATCACGTTCAATGGTCGGAGGACCCCAGTGGGCCCGCACCAACGTGTAGTCGATTGTTGGCCGCCGCGATCGCCGCGGCGACCTCCCAAATCGACCCGGAAGTATGGCCGGGGTCGGATATCACGCATCGACGCAGAAGGTGGCCCCCCGCGCGCCAGCCCCTTGACGTTCGCCCGGAATGGGCACGGAAAACATGGGTGCGATGCCCAGCAGCACATGTTCTCCAAAACCGCAACAGCGGCCGCTGCTGGGCAGGCGGCCTTCTGCCTAAGATTGACAGCGTCCGCGGCAGCGGGCCCTGCTCAGGACCTGCCGTCGGTCTCCGTACCCCTTCTTTCCGTACCCATTTCGATCGTCTTAGGTCGGGCCTGTCCCCCTGCAGGGGGATTTTGGACGAAAAATACAAAATACAAGAAAAATGCTCTAAATATGCCCCAAAGTACTCAAAACATAGCATAGTCCCCAGACTATTTTTAAACTATTTCTTTGAATATTCCCCCCTGTAGAGGGACAGGCCCGACTCAACGATCGTACCGATTGGAGCGCGCCCCCGGGCCTCCTCCCAGGCTCGCACCAGCCGCACGCCTAGCTCCGGCCCCGCGGGGCCGGGGCCCCGCGGCGGCCACGGGGCGTGAGCGGCCAGCTCGAAGCGCAAGCCGGAGCCCGGGCGAGTCTCCTCCGAGGCGCTGTTCGCGCGAGCGACCACGTCTGGAGGAAGGAGAGAACGGCATGAGCATACAGTCAACCCGTAGAAGAAGGAGGCGCGATAAGGATGCAAGGGCCTTGGACGCCCACTGCGAAGCTTTTCGAGCGGGGCGCGGCCAACGAAAGCGGCCAAGGATGGGCCGAGAAGGCAAGGATGCAAGGGTACACTTGGAAAGGTTGCCCATCCTTGCTATGCGGGTTGACTGTACGGCAGGTTCGTGCCGTGACGACCGCGGTGTTGGTTTCCGAAGTCGTGTGGGTCGTTCCATCTTGAACGGTCGGCGGCTTTTCGATCGCCAGATCCTTCTTCCATGTTGGCCGATTCTGGACCACAGGTGGCGTTCAACCTTGAACGCCCGCGGCGGGGTCGCCGCCGCGTCGGCACGACGCAAACCTACGGCAAACTTTCGGTGCTTCTGCGCGGACCTCTTGGATCGGCGCTGGTCCCCCCCTCCCTGGCGGAGCACGCCAGGGGCGGCGCCTCAAGGCGCTGCCGGGGGGCCCAGCGCGCAGATCTAGGAGGCCCGCACGGAGCTCCGACAACCGTATGACTCTGCAATTTTCTCCTCCTCCGGATGTCTCGAGCGTCCCGGGCCCTCTCCAGGAGAGACCTCACGGCCTGAGGCCCCTGTGCCCTGCAGGCGTCTCTCAGGCACCTCCTGGCGGCCTGCCCGAGCTGCTCGCGCCGGTCGGCGCGCTCGTCGCCCAGCAGCAGCGACACCAGCTCCTCGATGGAGGGGTCCGCGGGCGATTCGTGCCACGTGCAGGACACGATGTCGTCTCTCGAGGTCCTCTCCTGAGGGGGCAGCGCCAGGGACGGACAGGCTCTCGGAGGGGAGAGGGGCGCATCGACCTGGCCTCGGCGATGCATCGCCGGCAGACCGGCGATGGGCCCCCGATGGCGAATCGGCATGCTCCTGGGCGGGGTGGGCTATCGAGCCTCTACAGGCGATTATGAGCGATTGGGTGTCGATGCATCCCCCCCATTAGACTATCCCCTAGATGTCTTCGGGTCATGATTCGAGAACCGACGAGAACGCCCGAACACCTCGAACCTCGATCGCCCCCCCTGAGCCTGCCCCCCCCGAACGTTGCCCCTGAGCTCCGTGCAGAGGCAGAGGGTCACTGCGGGCCCGAAGTGCAGGCAGCTGAGGTGCCCGACCTGCGCCGCCTCGGTGCCCAGCCGCACCCCGTCGACCCTGACGTCTGCCGCCTCGGGGTGCTCGCGGCCCTCGGCTCCACGGGCCAGCCGTATCCAGACAGACCGGCCGTCGTTGCGCAGCGTGCACGCCCGCGGGGGCACGCCCGCACGAGGAGGCAGCCGGAGGTCGTTCGAGTCGTCGGCGCCGAGCGAATGCTCCGCATTGTCGGGCGGGATGTGGTACACCACTGCCCCGATCTCGCTCGGGTCGTCGGAGGAGCCGACCAGGTGGGGAAGCGGAACCTGCGAGAACTCTGCGGCACCGTGCTGGAGCATGGCATGCCGCATCGGGGGCTCACGGTTCTTCGATGCTCTGCGAGAGTCCTCAGGGTCTTTGGTGAGCTCGTCGACGAGTTCCTCCCGTGCTCGCGCACGCGTCTCAACAGGCATGAGGCTCGGGTTGAGCTGCACGTTGGCGTTCGCAGCCGACAGCTGCGCCCTCAGATCTGCGACCTCACCCTGGAGCTTCTTCACCAGGCTGGGATAGTCCTGCTCGGAAGACTTGATGGCCTCCACCTTGATCGCCCCGACCGTGACAGCAAACCTGAGGGTGCTGTAGCTCTCCTCGAAGTGCCCGATCGCGGGGCTCAGAGTGCCGATCATGGCCGTGCGGGAGTTGCCGCTGAGGGCGTTGGAGAGCAGGAGCGTCAGCTTCGAGTTGCGGAACAGGGAGAAGTCCCTGGTGCCCTTGCGGTGGTGCTGGCCCGAGTACGGCGCGTGGTCTCTGCGGTCAGGATGGTCCCTTTGGTGCTGATGGCCAGGGTGTGGCGCGTGGTCTTCATGGTCGTGCTGGTCCTTGTGGCCCTTGGTGTCCCTGCGGCCCTGGGGGCCCCCGTGGTCCAAGTGCTCCTGGTGGTCTTCTGGCCACTCGGGAGCGGAGGCTGGATGCTTCCGGCTGGGCCTCCTGCGGCTGGCCTGGGCCATGCCTTCTCTGCCGAGGCCCTGGATGCAGTTCGCCAGCTGCAGCAAGCTGCGGTTGATGAACGTAAGCTCCACCAGGCGGTCCCCCGTCACCTGCGTCGTCTTCTCGTTCTCGCGGCCCGCGAGGTCCGCGAAATACACTTCAGAGCGCAGGACCATGTTGTCGTTGCCCCCCTTCCGTTCTACGCTGAGCTTGACGACAGTGTGCCCGCGCGAGCTCTGGGAGTTCATCGCGGTGGCGTAGACGGTCTTCATGGAATTCCCGAACTCGATGGACCTTGCGCACTTCTCGGCGCTGTCGACCATGAGCTCTGTGGCCCCAGTGAGGTAAACACCAAACTCTGGATGCACGTGGACGTCTATCTTCTTGAACGAATCGGCCTTCCCCACTGCATGCCCTGCTGCATGAAAGCTGTTACGCCGAGAGATGGAAACCTCTCGTGGCACTAGTAGGTCTGATAACTTCTCGTTGTAGACTTCTAACATCTGAAGCTGCACAGACACCTCGGAGCCCTCTGCCCGCAGCCGGGCCACCTCGGCAAACAGCTCGGTGATCAGCCGCAGGAGGATGCCCTGCTCCTCCACGGGAAATGCGCTGCCCATTATGGTGGTTGTCTTTCCAGTGCCGGTTTGGCCGTAACAGAACAGGCAGGTGTTATAACCCAACATCATGTGTTCCAGCATCCGTCTGCCCATGAGATCATAGCACTTCGCAGCACTGACATGACTGGGGCTTGCGGGATCAGTGCTGTCCATCGCGTGGTCGAACTGGAAGCGCGATGGGCCAATGTGCTTCACGCCATTTCCAATCACGACGGACACAACGTTGTCGCTCTCCACCTTCAGCACTGGCTGTTGCCCCTGCTCGTGCGGCAGAAGTGGCCGCAATCGAACGCCCACTGTGATTGCCTCGCCGACATGAGCTTTGCATGGTGCGACCTTCGGGCCAGACGAAGGGGGGGCATAGCCAAAGTCGGCGGCGAGCACCAGGGGGCAGGGCCAGGGGCACGGCTTCTGGGAAAGAAGAGGGCTGATTCTTCGCAGGCGCCGGCCTGGCTAGTCTACCTGCAAGGCCCGCGCCCTCTAAGAGGCAGGGGCGCTTCTAAGAAGCCTTCCCCCCTCCCCCTCCCCCCCTCTGCGCGTGGCTGAGGTTAGCGAACCAGCTCACGCAGCTGGCGCAGGACGCACCCATGTGCCGAGGAGAGCTTCAGGCGTCGGGGCCGAAACCGGCCGCACGCAGCACCTCTCGAAATCTCCCCCTCCCCTGCGACAGATTCGCGCCGCGTCCTTGTCCGGGCGTGGGTCTCTGACGCTGCGTGGATCGTCCAATCTTGAACGACCGCGGCTCTCCGAGACAGCGGACCGCTCGACATGGGCAGATTCTGGGCCACTGACGGCGTTTCATCTTGAACGCCCGCGCTGGGACCGCCGCCGCGTCGGTGCGGCGGAAGCCCACCGCACCTGGACATCCGACGAGAACTACGATTCCTTCCACGCGAGGGTGCAAAGGGCCCCCGACGCCTTCCTGAAGGCCAGCTGTCTGGTGCTCCCGGGGGCCCCGTCGCGGGCCTCGGAGGCCCAGGTCGAGGAAACACCGGCGGCTAACAAAAAAACATCTCGTCGGCGATCTGGGTGGCCCCCCGTTCTCGTCCGACTGCCAAGCCTGGGCGCCGCTGGCGGAGAGAGTCGAGCCGCGCCCTGACTGCGACATGGTGCCGGCCGCGGGCCGCCGCTCGCCCTGGCCCTGAGCGAGGGGTTCGCGGGAGGGCGGAAGGCTGCCGGTGGCATGGGGCAGGCAGGGCTGCAGAAGCGGATGGTGATCCACAGCTGGGAGCGATGATGCTACGACCAGCTACGGCGAAGGCATTGGATAAGGAGCCTAGCGTTTGGAATCCGGTGGAACTCCCATCCTGGATCGCTCACGGATATCACTGCCACCCCAATCAGAGATGAGGAAGGTTCCCAAAGGTCTGAAGCCTCTTGAACACATTCCTGAACCCACGCGCCAACCGTAAGCAGCTCGGGGAATCCGGTCCCACTGGAGCTGCCTGCGTGGCCTCTCGCTGGGACTCCGAGGGGGAGACTCTACGACTCCGACACGCACCGCGACTGTTGCGCAACGCCCTCACCCCGAGGGGGGGGGGCACCGGCCCAGCTGGCGCCCCCTGGAGGCACGCAGCCCTGCAACGGGGCCCACTCGCGACCATGAGAGAGCTCTGATTGGGGGGGGGGGGCTCGAGATTGCTGGCCGCACGATGCCGTCAGCGGTGGCGGGGGGAGACATGGTGATGATGGAGCTTTGCGCCCGCGGGCACGACAGTGAGGGGGAGGAAGGCATCACCTGACTTCTGGTGCTCCCCTGGCCTGCCCAGCCAGGCCGAGCCTCTGCCTGGAACCTCCAGCAGGTTGTGGCAGCCTCCGCCGGTGGATGGGGGGTAGAGTCATCGCGGAATGAGGAACGAAATCAGTCTTTTCCAACCATCATGGGCCTCGGCCACGAACAATCCCCCCCGACCTGTGAACGGCACGAGGGCCAGAGCCCTTCCCCGGACCAAAGTGGCCCCGGCTTCAGCACGTTGACTGCAGGAGGAGGAGGGTGAGGAGGAGGAGGAAGAGGAAGAGGAGGAGGAAGAGGAAGAGGAGGAGGAAGAGGACGAAAATGAACAGGAGGACGAGGAGGACGTATTCGATCGGAACCGCGAATGCGCCAGCGCTCAAGGCCGTACCACGGGCAAGATGCACGATGCAGCACTAGCTGCACAGATAGGGAGCCATGACGCAAATCTTGCCGTTGTCCACCTTACCTATGCCAAATGGAACCTTAAATTCCGTTCACCAGAAACCAAAACCACCCGACACTGACACAATCGCACTTGTTCTTGTGGGACTGCGTGTGCAACGCATTTTGTGTGCCAGGGCGCTCTCCTTGGGAACAAAACTTTCGTCGCGATGTGACTGCAGGCGTTGGATGGCGCTGCGAATACTCCATGGCTGCACAGGATGCAATACATATTAATGTGCTGCGTCATAACGGGTTAACTGGTTCTAGGTTTGCTCTAAGGATCCAGTCGCTGCTGCGGCCAAGCTCCCACAGCCAACTGGCTGGTTCGGCCACGCCCCCGGGTGGCTGCTTGGGCCAATACCCCATCGGTCAAGATCCCGAAATATTATATTACCCGCGAAGCGTACCCCCGAGCCGCATTGCAGCGACGGGGGGGGAGGGGGGGATGGAGAGAAATGGAGGGAGTAAGGAGGGAAGGGGTGGATACAGAGAGTGCAGGAATGAAAGAGCGAAGAGGGAAGCTGCGAAGATTGTACGTACTTTTTCTGGCTCTGGAGCTCTGGCCGGAGCAGCCGATGCGGCCGAAGCAGCCGACGTGTGTCATTGTCAGCTGGATGGATAAACCTCAATGGAATTAAAAGTTGCAGGTCTCGATGTAGCAGCAAAACCATGTAAACGTATAGCTTACGTGTGGCAGTGAATGGGCGCAAGATGCGATCACATATGGGTGCTCCTCTTCCACAACAACTCCCACGAGACTACCTCAGACCACGCCGCGCCGATGGCTTGTGCAACATTCGAGAAGACGCCACCATCTGCGACCTGGTCGCGGCATGCGAACCACACCTACTCAATACCCAGCCAAAAGCTCCTGGTCGCCTGTGTCTACAAGATGATGTCCCCCGTGATGCGACAGGGCTGGCCGCAGTCCGCAGTCGGTTTCCAGTAGGCCTACAACCAGAAGGAAGGCAAAGGGCAGTCCACCAAGGCCCCAAGCCCGGGGTCGGTCCGTGGGCCCGACACCGGTAGATTCCAGAGAGGCGTCGCCAGCTGGAACACCAACCAGCCGATCCAGGACCCCGGGCTCGTCCGACAAAGGGAAGGCAGGCCCCTTTGACCACCATAGAGTCTTCCGCCAGACCCCGTCCCGCGCCAACGGCCTCGAACTCCAATTCCTTGGTCTAGAAGAACGCTGCCCGCAACTGTTCCAGGAAGACCTGATCACCATCGCCACGATTGACTCCAGCCAGGGCGATGAGGCGGGCCTGATCAGACTCGCCACCACCCGTGCCCGCAGCAGCCATGCCTGGGGCGTCCTGGACGATCGGCACAAGGTCAATGTCGCCTATACTAGGCGAGGTCGGCCGTCATAACCCTGTGCCACTGATATTAGGCCCCCGGGGATAATACAATTCGGGGACAAGGGGGGATATGAAACGCTTCCCCGGCAGATCGCAGCATAAAGGACGTTGAAAATGAGGGTGATGAC